GAGAGAGAGAGAGAGGTTCAAAAAAACTAGTGAAAATAGAAAAGTAGACGTGCAATACCAAAAAAAAAAAATCAAACAACAAAAAATTTTGGAAAATAAATTTTAAAAATGGAGAGAGATGCAGAGAGAGAGAGAGAGAGACAAAAAAACTAACGTAAAGAGAGAAGAAAAGTTGAAATAGAATGGATAAAAAGAAAAGTATAAAGGAAGTCATTCAATACAACAAAAGACTGGTAAATTATAGAGAAATAACTAGATGGGACATTCTAAAATTTGTGGAAGGCAGGTTTGTCATTTTTCTCAAAGTAAAGCCAATGGTGACTAGGTGATGACAATTGAAAACAAGACCTTTTTTTAACTTCTGAAAGGTCAATTTTTTATTATAAATCTACAACAAAGTTCAAACCAAAAGGATTCATTCGTATAAATAAATGGTTCGGTTCAGAACTAGTTGAATAGTTTTTCATTTGAAGTTGGTTCAACAATTTCAACTTGATTACTTCAGTGTGAGAAATAAAGGAAATTGCATTTCTCGCATATTCCAAATGGAAGAAAATTTCATGCATAGGCTAGATATGGATAAAACAATGTGAGAGGTGATTTATATGATACTTTCTCTGCATTAAAAGGGTTGAATCCTGATAAAAACATATGAAATTGGAACTCATTGTCCTCTCCAAATTGCTAATACCCATGTATTGGTCAGATTGGTACTGGTTAGATTCAACATTTTAATAGAATAAACAACTAAATGGAGTGAGGAGCCAATCAACAACAACAACAAAGTAGATTTGACGACATTTGGGAAAAATCAACAAGGCAGTATTTTTAAAAAAAAAATGTCATAACAGTGTTAAATAACCATATTAAATGGAGGACTAACAGTGATAAAAACTTAGCAAATAATATCAAATATCATCACATTTTGAGTTTTAGTAAAATACTAAAATGTATAATTTAGAACAATAAATGTTATCTGCTCTAATGCCACACAGAAATGTTTTAAAATATCAATATATTGTTTTTTATAAGTCTTTTCAAGATTTTCCATAACAAACCTTGCTAAGAAAGCTTCCAAGCGTTGATTGTTAAGTTTCCATATGTTCACTCCATGATTCATCATTAAATCAAGATTTTCAAGTCTGCAAAAAGCAAGAAGGAAATTCAGATATCATATAAAATGAACAAATAAATAAACCCAAAACACTACTGCATCTTGGCACAAGTGGTTTGTGAATGGTTGCAGATGGATGCATGCAACAATGCATAAAAATACACTACCCAAACAGAGGCACAACAACAAGAGAACAAAAGGATCCACTTTCAGTAACATTTTAGGGTTGTTTTAGAAGAACGGAAGTAAGAAGGAAAAGGGCATCTGTTCTTGTGGGCATAAACAAGCACACATGCACACACAAACATACAGAGAGAAGAAAACTCTTCTACAATTAAACATATGTGGCCGTACAAATGTTTTTACATTATTATTTGACCCATCCAGTCATCGAATACAGAATCCTTAACAAACAAGAAATATTAGAAGAACCATGAGAATTCTTTATCCTGATAAGGATGACTCAAAAGTAAAAGAAACTACAAACATGTAGGGTGAACCATGTACATTATTTGTTTTAAGAAGTAGCGAACAATCTAAACTGTTGATGGAATTAATGTCCTTGAATGAGCACTGATTCCATAGGTTATGCTGAAACTTTCTTTTCTTGTGGGATCAAGAAGGTCAAAAGGCACACTGAATCACACAGAAGCAGATTCTTTCTCATTTATCCAGCTCCAATGGGCTCTAGACATCCTAAATGTGTTTTAAGTTATTTAGCCCCATCTCACAAAGGTAACCAATGCTATGGTCATTCATCATACCTAGCTTCTTCATTTCCAAAAGTATAGCATTTTATCAAATTACATATTTTATTTCTCAAACTATTATGCTATTAGTAATTTAGTGACACCCCCAAGGTCTTCTAAACAAAGCTCCTCATTTGTCAATTGACCTTATTCTTCCTACAAGACCCTCATCATACTCAACTAGTTTTGAGCTTCTCATACTCTCTACTTTTCCAGGAAATCGTCCCAAGCTTCTCTAGCCTTTAATTTTGAGCAAGCTGCCAGCAGTGATCTACCCCATTCATCTAAGCTTGTTTTTCTCTTTTCTATGCATTCTTTCGATAACCATGAATCATCTAAGCTTGTTGCAAAACGTCTTCGTCATTACTCTCCAGAGAGGAAAGGTATTCCACACTTTTCTCAACCCCACATTTTTTGCAGTAACCCTCACTCTATGCCAGGCACCCATCGAAAGCAGCTTCAACTTGTTGGAAGTAATATTTCTAGGAATTGATTGTTGCGCCTAAATCAAATAATATACAAGATGCATCACGTGTGGTTAATAAAGCACAAGAGCATACTGAGCTGTGAACGATCGATTTTGCAGCTGTTCCATCCACATCCTCATTGCTTTTGCAACCTTGAACTGTTGACCTTTTTATTAGCTTGATGTGAACAGTGACTTTCTTTGAATTCTTTCACAAACAAATATTGAGCTGTACATGCAATTTTACCGCAAATCTTAACTTTTCAATGGTTACTTAATATTTTTCTTATTTTTATTGAATTTTTTAATTTTTAGTCAATTTTCTATTTTTAATATTGCAAAAAGATCCAGCCAGACAGACCACCAGTCGGACTGATTTTGATTAGACCAGCCCCTTTGTTGTTTAGAGCACCAGTCCAATCCTGATAACACTGCTATAAACACCTTCATCAAACAATTGCTAAGCCTCTCACACAACCATGAATGTCAAAGAATTGAAAAAGCTAGCATTATGGAAGTATAGAACATGACATTTTTTGGGAAATTAAGCATGAAACCCTCTCCATGCATGCAGGACGGGCAGTGAACTGACAAGGCCCCCATGTCAGAAATGCAATGACCGAAATATTTTACCAAAATACATTTCTGCTCTGATGACACTCATAGAACTAAAAATTACAAATTTCAGCCCATGGTCCAAGAACACCATGCACATTGAGTATTGTCACCACTAGAGTATTCAACTCATCAATTAAGGTATCAAAGATGGAGACTACACGTTAAAATATTTCAAATGTGTATTCAAGGAGTTACCTATCCTTTTTTTCATATTCAAAGGAGTTAACAGGAACCATGCTATAGACTCCTAGTTGGTTTTTTCCTCATAGCTAAGCCAAGTTGGACAACACACACCCCCACCCCCAATAAATAAATCAATAAATAAAAATAAAAATAAAAATAAAAATAAAATAAAAAATAGTACGAAAGCCTAATGGTTGAGGGCATATGTTATAATGTAATTTGTCATATTATTTGCATTTCTTTCTTCCCTTTTCTATTTCGGTAAATGATGACATAATCAAGATAGAACATAGGGATTAACAAGAAATAGTATGGACAAATTCATAAGACAGAAAAATATCCCATCCTTTCCAAGATACAACCAGATTTGCTAGCCAATCCACCACAAATGCGACCTACCTTGGTGCATGAAAACATTTATGTTTGATAAAAGGTTCATAAATATATACCCCAAAAAAAACTGAGAAACTACGAATTAATAATTTGTGTTTTCATAAAGTAGGTCATTGAAAGATGTCACTGTCAAAATAGGGAATTGAAAAGATGTGAACTATTATAATAAATATTCCAAAGGACTGAAAGCAGCATTCTAAATTTGAATGAACATGTACTGGAATGGTTTAGTCATATGTCGTGAGATCCCAAATTCTCAATCATTACTTTAACAAGTGTATCGTCCATTAGTTTCTCCCTTTCTTTCTTTCTAAAGACAGGATTTCATGCATTTTGATGCATCCATGTTGTGTTTTTAAAAACATAAATGCACATGTTAGTCTATGAATACACAATGGAACACCAAAGGATTTACCCAGATAAATGATCACACATGTAACAATACTCATGCTATTCACCAATGTCTACTTACTAAGTTTCACCATGATTTTACCAATTAAGCCGGCTGACCTCAACAGCAATTATAAAAGGACAAAACCCATGAGATAAAAATATAAATGATCTGATAATATGGGATCCTAGAGTCAAGAATTACCGTATAGTTTGGTGTTGAAGCTGACTTTGAGCATTTTGAAGAGCATTCTTCCAAGCAGTGACATCATTTCGCCTATTCACAGGCGGTGGCTCCAATCCATATCTTGACATGTCCATGGCCAATGGAGGCTTGCCTGCTCTCACGCGCTCATATTCTCGAGCAAGCATAGGGTTGTTCTGAGAAATATAATTTGCAACATAAGACATCCAATGATATTTATCAGGTGGTTATGAGAAATAGAACGCCAAATAATATTCAGAATTTCACACAATATATTCACAGAACAGAAAAGTATTTCTAACTTCATTAATCAACAGCTACCTGCAAAAACCATTACTCTATCAAACTATAAGATCCATCTAAAATCCCATAACCACAATATTCAAAGAACTTTCTTTTTTTCATGTTTCCATCAAACCCAACTCTTAGAACCCTAATCTACTAAATCCAATGGTTTTTGAGAATATGGTAGACCCAAGTCTACCAGTGTCAGAATAAGCCTGAGACCAACTTGCTGTGAATGAGCAGTCAGATGAGTGGCACAGCCATCATCATTCAGCAAAATTAAGGCATTTACTTTTGGCCTGTTGAAAACTAAGGTAGGGGCTATGTATCATTGTTACATGTCACATGGATTTAGACAAATCCTACACTCGACGTACTTAACAAGCATGTTGACACAGCAGACACCTACACAGCCAAGGGAAATCTGCATCTCAACGTGTTGCCAAAATTTTACTGTTTTTGGACACTTGGTGAAGGTATGAGACATGTGAGCCTATCAAGTAGTTGTACAAGACATGCTTGTCAATTATCAAGATAACCAGTGTTGCTCTTGACAACAATATGCCAAAAGAGGTTTGGACAGGAAAACATGTGGATTATTCTTTCTCTTGTGTTTTTTGTTATGATTCATACGCTTTGACTCCTAAGGAGAAGAAAACAAAGTTGGATGTCAAATCCAATAACTGCATTTTTCTTAGCTATGCAGATGGTACAAAAGGGTATAGAATGTGGGATCCTACTAACTACAATGAGATGTTACTCCTGACAAGTACTCATGCAGAAAATAAGGGAGAGTTAGATGCAAAAACAGTTGATGTATAACACACCCAAGTTAGAACCTAAAATTGTACAAGAGCTAGAAGAACATTTAGGTGGTATTGAATTAAGAAGATTTGAAAGAACTAAAGGACTCTTCTGAGGCTCAATGACTATATGTAGACTTATGCTTATCTAATAGAGGAGGATCAGTCAATTTCTCATGTTAAGGCAAGTGAAGTCAATGAAACCAGTTGAAGGAGTGCAGAGGGCATCCATGGAAGAGAATATGGAGATCCTGAGAAAAACCATCGGACCTTATCGAATTACCAAAGGGCAAACTGCAATTTGCAAGAGGGTCTTCAAGAAGAAGAAAGGTCTTGATTATGTTGTTATAAGGTATATAGCACAATTTCAATGAAAATTTTTCCTCTTGATGTGTGCATGACCACTATTAGAACTATTTTGCTTATGGCTAATGTTCTTTATTTAAAAATGAAATAATTGGATGTAAATACTACTTTCTTACAAGGTGACTTACTATAAGAAAGTTTTATAACCCAACCTAGGTGGTGCTGTTGAGGACGGTCGGAATTATTTGATTTGTAGGCTAAAGAAATTGTTGTATGGGTTGAAACAAGGCCAAGGAGTTGGTACAAACAATTTGATTCATTCATGTAGAGAAAGAATTATCATAAAAGTGACACTGATCATTGTGCCACTTTCGTAGGAATGTGATGATAGCTTAACTATCTAGTTATTGTAGGTATTATTTTTTTCTTTTGAATAAGTAATTGTATCTTGATGACATAATTGTTGCAGACTTAAAGAAAGAAATAGTCAAGGAATATGAAATCAAGGAATTAGGAGCCACGAATCAAATCCTTAGCATGAATGTGCTTAGAGAAAAGAAGAACAAAAAATAATCTACTTAAATTAGAAGAGTTATGTAGAGAAGGTTTTGTAGCACTTCAAGATGCACACCTTTTCCTATGCACATGAAGTTGCCTTTGAAACAACATCATAGACTCCTAACACCAAAGCAATCAAAACATGAATGTCTCGAGTACCGCATTAATCAGCAATAGGGAACCTCACGTTTTTATGATTAGCACCAGAACCAGTATAGCAAGAGCAACGAGAATGATAAGTGGATATATGGCAAATCCTAAACCATAATCATTGGACTACTGTGAAGTGGATCCTTCCTTATGTAAAGGGAACTTCTAATGTTGGTATTTGTTACAATGGGATGGACTTGGAAGTTGCTAGTTCTGTCAATGAAGATTTTGCGTTTGATTTAAATAAAAGGAGGTCTATCACTGTGCATGTTTTTCCCCTTGGTCAATGATGCAATTAGCCGGTTATCGAGGTTACACTTTATATTAGCTTTGTCTATTACAAAAACTAGATACATATCACTTACACATGCATCCAAAGAAGAAGTTTGGCTAAACAAGCTACTGAAGAGAATTTCATGCTACGAGAAAAGGGATATTGCTTCATTGTGATATCCAAAGTATCTATTTAGCAAATTTATCAAAAAAAAGTATCTATTTAGCAAAGAATCCAGTTTTAGACTAAAGTTTAGTTGTTGAAAACACATGTGATCCTGACTTGTTTCAGGAACCATAATCACATAATCGTGGGTGTTAGATGATTCCTATAGCAAATTCGCCGTCCGTACAATGCAAATCACCTGTTGTGTGATTCCCTCTGTATTGGAATCACGATCCAAAAAAATAGGAATCGTGTGTCCTATCTTGTTGGAATTGAGTTTCCTGCCTTTCTAGAATCACACATCAATCCATTGCTATCAATGCCATCCAAAATAGCAATCTAATAAAATAGGAATCGTGACTCCTATGTCGTTGGAATCATTGGCCCATCAAATTGGGATCAAGATTTCTACCTTTCAGGAATCACTCACCAATCCACTCAGGACCATGCCAGAAGTTTTAATTTAAAGCTCTATATTATTTATAATCTTGAATTCTGGACTCCATATATTGAATATGATTGCCCAGGGCTCCCATATTATCCGGACTGATGTCTTTGACAGCCCTCCCCTAACCATGGTCTCAGGTATTGGGCGCCCTTGGACGTAGCTCTCCACAACTAATGAAAACAAGGTCAAGCTCCCTTAGGCATCGACTTTCTTGGAGTTCCTAGAACTCCAAGAAAAGAATATGTTGTATGTTTTTCTCATGCTTATTTTAAGGACGAAACAAGGAACTACATCTTCTAACTAGAAAAGAGCCTCTGAGATGTGAACCTTGAGCTCTTAGAGAACCGTATAAGCATATACTTTAATGCTTTATTGAAAAACCCATTCAACATTGAGGTCTATCAAAAGTGCCACACCAAAACAAATCGTTTTATGTGTTTTTCAGGCATCTTTTGATGATGAAAGGAAGATATGCATCTTCTCAATCGAAAACGAGTCCGTGTGTTGGAACTCGAGCCCCTAGAAAACCATGTGCCTTGATGCATTATTTCAAAACCCTTTCAACATCGGCGTCCATTAGATGTGAGAAACAATTTTCATTTGTGAGGAGGGTGATGAACTGTTTAAGTATTTGCCATTGATACCCGCAAGGCTCAAGTTGAAAGTTGAAGATTCTTATTGATGCTTACCTGCCAAAGACATTACTATCATACTTCGCTAATAAATCTATAAATTTAGAAATTTGCATTTAATCTTCATTCTGTATTATTCGAACTTCAACTCCATGTTGATCGAAACAATGTTCAGTGCATCTATGAACCCCAGGTTTTGACCTTGTGGATCTAGTTTCCAAAAAATTCCGTATTCCTAAAATTGGGATCAAGGTCTCATACACGTCGAATCCGGTCTTATGCACCTATGAATCACAAATTTTGTGAGATGGAATCTAGATACCCAATTTCCAGGAATTCGTATTCAAAAAAAAAAATTTCAAACAAGATTTGAGAAATTTGGAATCATGATTCCTATCTTCCGAGAATCGTGATTCATCCTAGGAAACGCAGAATCACGATTTTGAACCAGATCGCCACCTTAGTACATGATTCGGGTAACTATAGACTAAACACAAATAATTTCAATATCACTTTGTTTGTAACGTTGTAGGAAATGAAATTTTTCTTTCAGGAAATTCCCGTGGAGGACAATCCAGCATAAATAATGACTAAGCCCATTGGAAATGGGAAGTTCAAGTGATGTAGAACTCTGTCAAAGTTAGAAGTTACTTAATGATTGGTAACTGATGGGCAGCGATTTCTGAGAGCAAATTATTTAGAATAAAAGCATGCCTTCAAGAGGGAGAAATGTTTGCAGTAAATCAATGTTATGGAAAGTAATGTAATTTCTCTTCACAAGTTTCCCAAATTTAGATTGAATTGAACCTATGTAGTTTCAAAACCATGTATTTCCAACATAATCCAAAATGGAAAAACTTAAAGATATGGTCTAAAGAGGACCACACGTATAAAATACCTTAGGGGTTTCTCCAAATAAGGATGTTCTTCCTAAAGAGAGAAATATACAAGAGAGAAAAAGATGAGATTTTTCTCGCAGCACTTTGATGAAATTTGTAGAGAGAAAATACCATGTTTTAGGGCATGCCAGAAAAATAATGTTTTAGTTGTATTCTCCATGCTTGTGTGGGGTTTTTTCTAATTAGTGGAAGAGAGAATTGTGTGATTAAGCAATTGCTTACATCCAAGAGGAAACAACTCTCTTACACTTGTTAGAAAATAACACCATGCAAGCATTAGAGAATACAAGGGCTACAAACTCTCTCTCACAAACTCTAAAACATGATATTTCCCTCTTTAAAAAACCAACAAAAGGACACACAGAAAAAAAAAAAAAAAGGAACTCTTCTCTATCAGAAGGCTTCTCTAATGAGAAGCATTTCTCTCGAGAGAGAAAACACACAAGCCTCGCATGGACTCTCTCTTTACAAGAAATACCCAAAGATCAAACCCATCATAGATGCTTCCTCACCAGGTTTCTCTCAAAGAAGATAAAGGGAAGACCAACACCCAATTCAAGTGAGGCCCTTTCTATTCCTTATCTTTTGGTTTTGAAATGTATCTCATATGAGATACACCATAGCATTGGAAACATTTAGCTGTCTAATGGAAATGG